CACCACCACCAGCCCCGCCAGAGAGCTCGGAGTTCCCCTCCATCGCCCGCCCCCCACTCCCTTCCTCGCCCCCAGGCCTGGCGTCTGCATCCCGCCTGCGAATGTTCAGCCGCCGCCTGCCCTGGGCCTGAGCCCGGCCCGTCTCCCTGGGGCAGCATCCCTGGTCTCTCCCTCCGACCTCCTGGACCAGCTAAGTGGGGCCCTGAGACCAGCACCATCAGCGCCCCCCCAACCCCCCAAACTTGCTAGAAATGCGGACTCTACTGAATCAGAGTCTCTGGCCCAGCAAGGGGTGTGCCATGGGCCTGCGGGACACATCTCGTCCTCTGACGTCTGAGAAGCGGGCTCTGGAGCAAGGACGACGCCTGGTCCAGCTCCGCCAGGAGGGTACACTGAGCTCCTTGCTGGTTACTGATGGGTGAGCAGGGAGATTGTTCTTGCAGGCAACCCCGGGTTCTTTAAGAAAATTGTCTCCTGGATGGTGACTAGAAGTGACTTGGAAAATAACACAAATTTCCTCAAAGAACTGACCCACTTAGCGCCTCTTTCGATTAAATCCCGAATTGTTTACAGCGAGCTGGAAAAGCACACTGACTCTTGCCCAGGGCCTCCGGGCCTCACGGCCTGGGAGGCTCACGAATTCAGCCTTCTTCTGGAGAACCTTGGGCCACTGCTTTACAGGTGTCACTTACAGGCCAAGTGAAAATCTAGCCAAGAAGGTTTGGGGTACATTTGCAGAGACTGGTCTAAGGTCATTCCCATTGCACTGGCCAGTTTGGCTCAGTGGATAGAGCCTCAGCCTGCAGACTGAAAGGTTCCCGGGTTCCGTTCCCCAGCGTGGGGTGGGTAGGAGGCAGCCAGTCAATGATTCTCTCTCATTGATATTTCTATCTCTCTCTCTTCCTTCCTCTCTGAAATCAATAAAAAATATTTTGTAAAAAATAAATAAAGGTCATTCCCATTTCATAGGCAGCAACTACTTCCCTGAACTAGAAAAGATGTGGACAAATGGAAAAGATATGGCCATGATATTTTGTCTCCCCCACCCCGAATATTCTTTAATATTTTTACATAACGTTTTTAAATAAAACTTAAAACCTACAAAACTCTGTAATGTGCCCCCATCTCTAAGACAAGTCTCCGTTGCTAACCTAGTGAGAGAGAAGGCTGGCCTAGTGGCGGTGGCTCAGTGGGGAATGTCTCCATCCAACCGGAAATCCTTTTTACATGCAGCCACCTTTGAGCCACGCTGCCCTCAACCCAAAGGAGTCATTCTGATGATGGCGGATTAGAGAGAGGGGGAGATTTGGCAACGGTTGGCCAACCCCTCAAGTTGCACCCCCCAGGTGACATCCCCACATGCCTCTGGGCAGTCTGAAAGGGCAGAGGGGTTTGGGAGGATAGGGCCTCTGGCTGGTCAGTGGGTGCCCCTGGGCGGGAGAGGGTTTGATAGAGCAGTGCCTACTGTGCGGTGTCAAAGAGCCTTGGAACTATCCCTTCTCTTTGTCCCAACAATTCCACTTCAGGTAATTCTCCCACGGGAATAATCAGAGAGGCCCTAAATCAGTGGTCGGCAAACTGCGGCTCCCGAGCCACATGCGGCTCTTTGGCTCCTTGAGTGTGGCTCTTCCACAAAACACCACGTGCGGGCGCGCACGTACAGTGCGATTGAAACTTCGTGGTCCATGCGCAGAAGTCGGTATTTTGTGGAAGAGCCACACTCAAGGGGCCAAAGAGCCGCATGTGGCTTGCGAGCCACAGTTTGCCAAACACTGCCCTAAATGAACCACCACAATGGGGGAGTGGTTTAATCAGGAGGGGCCCCCGTCATGGAGAAACAACTACAGCCACCTAAAATCCCTCTTTCAAAGAATTTCTCACATGGGAATTGCTCACAATGTAATGTAAAAAAAAAAAAAAAAAAGTCACATAGAAAATAGTACTGTATAATGTCTATTTTACGCAAAATACATATTATTTGTCTAAGTAAAAAGTATATTTGTATATATAAAATACATATGTAAACTGGAAGGAAATGCGATATGTTAACCAAGGTTTTCTCTGGATGGTAGGATCATAGGTGACATTTTTTTTCCTGCTTTACTTTTTCTGTGTTTTCCCTTTTTTTCTACAATGAGTACATGCTACCTTAGAATTTTAGAAAAAAACTATTTAAGAACCCACAGTGCCAGATTCAAAGATGAGTAAGACACACATTTAGAGCCCTGATCCCATGGTTAAAGGACATAAGAGGTGCCCAGACAGCAGCAATGGAAGCTGAGTGGATGAATGTGGAAGAAACCAGCCTGGTGCAGTGGGAGCTCAGGGCAGGGAGAGAGAACATCTGCTGGGACTTCAGCTCCTTGGGGACAGATCAGTGTACACGACACAACGCACAGAGAAGGGGCCGTCAGAGCCCAGTTTGGCTCCCCAGGGCCCGTGACTTCAGGCAAATCACTCCAAACTAGTCTGGCTTTCCTCGTCTGTAAACGGGATAACAAAGAGGTTCCTATGAACAATTTTACTAACATAATAGAGGTGAAGCATTGCCCCTGGCACAGAGGAAGTGCTCAGGAAAAATTAGATTTATAATAAAAGTGTTTAATTTATTCATTGACTTTTGAGAGAGAGAGCAGTGGGAAGAGACAGAGAAAAACATCAACCTGCTGTCCCACCCATCCATGCATTCACTGGTTGACTCCAGCATGTGCCCTGACAGGGGATCGAACCCACAACCTCGGCTCCTGGGGATGACACTCCAACCAGCTGAGCTACCAGGCTAGGGCTATAGTAAAAGTTTTAACACCAAGTCTAGGTGGGAAAGCATAAGAGCTGTGCGGAACCAGTGGGGGTGCAGGGCATGGGGTTCATGGGGAGAGGGTGGGAGAGAAGGCAAGGGGGATGGGTGTAGCCTGGGGCAGGGAGTGGACACCGGTGGAGGGGTGCAGCTTCTGGTGTAAGCTCTGCTTAGGGGTAGAGGCTGGGAGACCATGTCTGGGGAAGGGGGGGTGGTTCTGTCCTTCCCTGACTAATGGAGTAAGTGAGGAATGTGGGGAAGATCATGTGGACGGAGTTTCCAGAGATGGACTCAGAGCCCTTAGCTCCGACTATGGAGGGAAGGGAAAAGGCACGGAGGGGTGTACGCAGAGCGCCCGGCATTTGCTGAGGATCTACATTACACCACACACTGCTTTGTCCTCTCAGCAGACCTGAACATCACTGTGTCCATTTTACAGATGAGAAAACAGGCTGAGGATCACACACTAGCACCAAGTGGACTACGATTCAAGCCAGCAAGCGTGAGCTTCCACCTGGCTGCGCACCAGCACCTGGAAGACCAGCGTTTGTGGTGCTCCCAAGCCCTTAGCAGTCAGAGACCTCGAGGAGTACAGAGCCAGCCCGCGGGTTTCCAGGGACCTTCCTGATGAAATCACCAGAAAGACCCTTTCAGCCCTTCCCGTCCCCCAAAGTGGGACCGCAAGCGCCTGCACTAGGTGGACCAGAGGTTTGTGTATGTGTGTGTGTGTGTGTGTGTGCGTGGGCGGGGGGGGATCCTTTAGGTTTTAACAGAAATGAATTAAAATATTTTGGTCTTTGTGTTTGTGTTTTTGAGAATGTTATAAACCCCTTGGTAGAACTAGAGGTGGTGGAGGCAGCCCCTGCGTCCCCCATACCTGGCACATGCCTGTGAGCCAGGGGACTGGCTCCCTCCTGAAGGGCTGATGCCTTGAGCCCACACTCCTCTCCCTCATGCTGACATCTGAAAGATGAAATGCCTCAGATAAGAATTTAATTCTTGCCAGAATGGGCCAGACGGCTGAGCTCCTGAAGGTGGGTACAAGAGAGAGACAAAAGGGGTCCCGAGAACCCTGGAGTTGGCCCCCCCCACGTGGAGCTCCGGCTATCTTCAGGCCGCGTCTCATTGCCTAGGCGAACTCTTCATTTTTCCCAAGCCACCTGGCAGAGAGCCTGACCACGGCATCTGCCTACCCCGTTTCCTGAAACTCTGGCCTCCTCCCTGGGATTTACAGACTTTGGGAGGGAGGTGCTGTGTTGCTTCACAGTGCTGATGCCCATTTTTCACAAGAGAAAACTGGGTGTCAAAGTACCGAGAATAGATTCTGCAATGAAAGCATTTGGAGCCAGACAGTGGGAGAAACCTCATTTATAACAAGGGTTCTCAGCCATGGCTACAAATTCGAAGCACAGGACACTTTAAAAATACTGATACCCAGGCTCCTCCAAATATTTACTCTGGGCTGATGAGGCTCTTTCTTTCTTTCCTTCTTTCCCTCCCTCCCTGTCTCCCTCCCTCCCTTCCTTCCTTCTTTCTTCTCTTCCTTCTATTGTTTGAAAAGTCTTCTAGGTGATTCTAACATGCCAGGTTCCACCTAAATAAAACAACTGTGTTAAAAGAAAACTATCTAATTGAGAAATGGAATGGACAAAGGATATGAATGGGCACTTCTCAGAGAAGAAACAAAAATGGCTGATAGGCACATGAAAAACTGTTGACCCCAATTAATAATTAAAGAAATGCTAAATAAAA